GTTAATTCTCCCCATTTATCCAGATGAAGACAGAAATACTCAGTTTCTGGGTGTCATATCTACCATGCCTCTCCTAAACGATTTTGCAATATATATTAAGAGCTATAAACGCTTCATACCCTTTCACCAATAATCAATTTACAGGAATCTATCTGAAGGAAATGATCAGATTCAGGTAAAGATTTATGTATAAAGATGCTCATGAAGTCGTTATTTGTAACACTGAAAACAGACTGCAATACCAAACAATGGGAAATGACTAAATTCTGGCATATTCAAACATTGTACAACTATATAATCATAATTTAGTTTCAAAATTACATACCGATATGGGAAAATATGAAATATACAATGTAATTAAAACTTTTTTTAAAAAATGAACTACACACACATAAAAATATTATAAAATTAAAGATATTAAAATAGTAGCAGGTGGTGGGATTATGGAGATTTTTATATTCTCTATACTTGTATTTCTTATATTTTCTAATGGAAGCAAGTGTTTTTTTAATAACAAAGAAAAAATTATCTTAATGGCCATATGAAAGTCCATCCATTAGACCCAAATATAGGTCCTATTAAAGCAAAAACTTAGTTCCGGTTTCACTATCTAAACATATTGCGTGTAACCTAGTTTTGAAATAAGCCTTTTTAAATTTTCTTTTAGATTAATACAATTTTGGTTCAACATAGTGTGAGAAAAGAAAACAATCAGTAGTCCTATCTAAATGACAAAACAGGACAGGTTTTACAGATTCCTACCGAGAGTTCTTATCATGGTTGTATCATTTTGGGCAATATTACCCTTGGAAGATAAGAAGGCAGGTGCTATTTTCGGTGAGTGATCAAAACTTTGTTGAAAAGTTATGCGGTAAAGATTAATTCCAAAATAATGTGTTGCTCCTCTCAGCTTGTGGCTATGTTTCACTAGGTGGAGTTTTTGATGCCACTATTCTATTCGAAGGCCTAACCAGTTCCATAAACAATATCCATCCATCGTCATACACAGAACTTCAAAGGCATAACAATTTGAAATACACTGATGTTATAAAAGCATCTCATTGAAACCCACAATGTCAGAATCAAAGGAGGTTTTAGATATCATCTAGCTCAGGGATCATGATATCAACTGCCTATTATCATCAGATGTCAATAAATGACACAGGTCATTTGTACAAATCGGCAGTTACAAAATAATCATGGGGATGTAACCACCAACAACGAAATTTTTGCCAAGTATCTTCAATACTTCTTGCACTAAAAATTATGCTTATGTAAGATGGAATTCTACTTGTACTTTATTTTTAGAGTTCACAGGTAGACATACAAGGTGAATGCAAAATCATTTAGAAACAAATTCCTACTTAGCCAAATTCCAAACGTTGGGCACAACGAAGGCCCCCGTCCAAGCCAATATATAGCATGAATTATTTACAGGGCCAGACATTACACTAGCAAATGTGGGAAGGATCAATATGCAAAATATAGACTTTTACTTAAAAAGACTTAAGTAATTACCTTATGATGATGAAAACAGGGAAGGAGGAAAGGAAGATCCACCTAAGAACAGCAATTCAATTGATTAACACAGATTTGCACTTTATTGTAATTTTGCATCCTGAGGTAATAAAATTTTACATCTGACAAGTCAACAACGACAGAAGCAGCAGTGAACATTTCAGAGGCAGGTCTCCATTTTGGCACAGCTGTTATGTAGGCTGAGTTCTTCCAGGGGGGCGCTCCAGAACTCAAGGGAGAAACATGAATTCATTCCATAGGCTATGTAACAATACAAGATGCATGAACGTTCTTGGTTTGAATGGACATAGCCACCTTTATTCTTTTCTGGTAAACCTGTCCCAACAGGAATCCTTTGCCGAAAAGTAGAAATTGTAGGTTTTTCACACAGATATTTTGATCACAATGCCTGCTTCTTGGCTACCAGGATTTTCTGTTTTTGCAGCTGAGACTCATATTTATATGTGGTTAGTCCAAGGATGGTGAACTAGCTTGTAGGTTATATAATTTCAAACATTTGTAACTATTTTCAAAGTCTAGGCATTAAAACAATTTTATACTATTTGCCTACTAGAAAAATGGAAAATTAAGAAAATGAAGCCAAGATAAATGGAAACAAAATAAACAAGAATAAAAGGAACATTTGAGAAATTATTGCCTTGACTCATCACGTTGAGTTTATACAAAGAACTACTTTGAGACTCAGAAACTCATATTTACTCCAATGCTAGAACATAATACTTTCCACATTTGCAATCCTATGTGTGTATGTATGTTTTACATATACACACTCAAATAAACTAGCTCAGTTATATAGTTCTGAAACAGAAAAAAATAACTGAAAGCAAATCCCAACCTGAATTTATATAGTTCAATCTAGCAAAACACATGAACACACATAATCTAGCATTTCATTATTTAGGGACTGGGTAGACAACCTGTGGAGAGGGTCAAATAATCTTAGTTCCTTTATAAAAGTGGCTCCTAACACTTTACCAGAAGGATCGCTTTATGTTCTTTCCCCATGTTTTCAAGTATTTTGTTTACTAAATTGCATGTAATAAAAGGCTTTCTCATTTTTTAAATCAGTCAAAAGCATAACTTCCATTTACAACTTCTGATCAATATGTGATAACCAGTGTTAGAACTGAAAAAAATTTTAAGCAAAATGTGCGGAAATTCAATGTCACAGTTGGCCTGTGCGGCAGAAATATTACAGGTAAATGCATCATTTTTAGTATACTTTTTGAAATACTGAGAAAGGTTCAAGGATGCCCTCACTGCTGGTTTATATCCACCTGCTTTTTTCTCCCTAAATGAAATATCAACATAACACAATTACCCATGTTAACACATAGGAGATAGATAACAAAATTTACTACCAAATAGTAAATTAACCGCAACACCCATTCTGTAAGGTTTGACAGAGAAAGAAAACATAACAAAACATAGATTTAAAGGAATTTAGAAATTACAAAATTATGATATCCAGTGTATCTTTCAGTCAACTTCAAAAGGCATGTTAATATATGAAAAGATCCTCAATTCCCCTGTGAGGTAGGTCCAGATTACTGTCCTCACTTGCATAATGAGAACATGAGGTACAGAGGAATTAAGGAACAGAGCTAAGAATTGAACCAACCAGAAATGACTTGGGTTTGAATTCCATAGCACTTTCCTTTCCATCTAATATTATCAATTTGTTCCATCAGGTTTTTTTGAGGATATGGAACTTAATAAGTCACTGAAACAGATATTGGATAGGATATGAAACTCTTTTTGCATCAATGTCAAAGTGAGTCCGCCCGCGTCTCCATTGTTGTCACAGCTATCATTCTTGTCTGGATACGAACTGCATAGTCAGATTCCACATAGGCAAAGTGTACAGACCTCAGTCCTCAGTTCCTAGGGAAACTACATTCATTCTCATGTACTACATAAGGCCGAGGTCTAGCAGGTATCAGGTCTTTGAGTCTCTGTGATAATGAATACACATCAACTAGGAGCCAGCTGGTAACTTAAACTTTTCCTGTGTTCAAGGCACTGCGAGTGTTTCCACCAAGGGTATTCGATCCTAGAAAAATCATTCTGAGATTTTGTAGAGTAAAAATTTCCTAAGGATTCCTGGAATCACAGAATGTTAAGTAATCTCTAATTTTCTGTACAGCTCTAGGTTCAATTTATGATTTTACAGATAAAGACTGACATGTAATTTAAGTGAATTGCTCAGAGCCCATGTTACATCACTTTCTCATAGAACATTTTCTCAGGTTGCCATGATCAAAACGAAGAGGCTGGCTCAGAATCAGGAAAGAGAAATTTGGGGCAAGATAAGGATTATCATCCATCCATCTATCTATCTATCTCATCATCTATTCATCATCATCAGTCTCCATCCTTATTTTTAGTTCAACACACTACATGTACAAGTAATTTTAATAAACCCTATTCATTTTCTGTGGGAAATTTCCTTATAGTTCACCATTTAAAGGAACCTGAACAACTTGACAATTGTTGCAAAATGGATTATTTTTAAAGCAGAATTTTATAGGCATAACAGGACCTATTTCGATGAATTTGAGTCTCATAAAATCAAATTACCAACTTTTTCCACTATGTAAAACTGCTCCAATATAAACAGATGTATATAATTTCCATATCCTCCTGGGTCAAAGCCAATTCTAATGAAATACTGTTCAAGTAGTGAGGTTTGATTTTTGTTAAGTATCAGTTTACTTGTAAACAAAATCAAAATGCTAATGGTTTTTTAAAGTTCTCATACATTTGAAAAAATACTATTTGTTCAAAGGCTTACAAATGTTATGGAACTCCGCTCGATTATTAAAAAAAAGGAAATTTCATTAAAATGGTATAGTACTAAATAATAATACAGTTTGATGAACTGATCAGACATTAGTGTTTATAGGTCATAATAATACGAATAGTATGTCCATTAAATACTTAAGTGGATTTTGGTGGGTCAAAGACCATTGTTGTACCAGAACCATGTTAAATTACATGTTTACTAGCATTCAGATTATACTAGTTATTTAAGTGACTAGTAGTCTTGCGATATTTTGTCACTAATATATCACGTGATTGGGGAAAAATAAGGAAGATGACTTTAAATAAATAAAAGAAATATAATGTGTTAGTGAAATATTCTTATACTTAGTTGAAAAAGATGGTTTTAAGTCTAATGCCTACCAATTCATCCATTCTGCTTCCTTAAACATTAAATGTTATCTTTGTTCAAAAAAGACAAGGCACTTCTCCATCATCTTTTAACATTTGACTATAAGGGTCTCTTTCCTAAATTAACAAAAGGGGTAGAAGGGAACAAAGAGTAGCTGAAAAAGGTCTGAGCTGATTTCATTTTATACAATTTGGGTGTTTCAAGGGGTAACAGGGGTGGAGATGTATAAGGGGAAGTTAGAGAAAGACCAGTTTTAACTTGTAACCTCAAAGCTTTGTGAGATTTATATACTTTGGAAAATAAATGTTATTTTCTCTGGAAAGAACCACAGCAGTTTTCATAAAGGAATATTGTGCAACAAAGAATTTCAAAATTACTTTCTTCAACCCAAAAACAACTTCCACAAAAATATTTTACTAACTTCATGAAAAATATCCAAGTATATTCTATCTTGAGGATTAAAGAGAAAAAAGTCAATGGGGGAGAAATTAACGACCACAGTGTGCTCTGTCATTTTAGCTTCGACTGTTGCCAATTTCATAGAAAAGATAACAGTCCCTCCCAAAGCACTCCCAAATACCCAAATGCTAACCAGCCCAGTCTGAAAGAAAATAGTTAGAAAAAAAAACCAGTCATACAAGAAAGAAAAAAACAAACAGTATTTTCTGAGTATTTCAAGAAAATAAAATGAGTCAACCAGCCTAATGATCAATAAAATAATAAATTTAAGAGCAATTAGAGTAAGTTTTAAAATTAAGTTTACACATGCTGGCAAATGGTTTTTATAACAAATACTCTGTAGCTTGAATTCTACTCTGTGTCCAGATGCACTCTGTTCCTATCTCAATATTTATATCATGGAAACGATTCACCACTTTCTGCTGTTCTTTGAGCAAAGCCAAGTGTGATTTATACATGGTAAAAAAAAAGGTTACTATGACCACCGCATGGCTAAATTCTAAGTTTATTAAAAATGAGATTTTATGGGTAGACACTTAAAAATAATTATTCTGTCAGTGATAATCAGAAATTTTGTACTATTCTACAAACAAGTTTTGGTATTAAACTATCACAGTTTGAAGCATCAACCTGTTATTAGCCGGAACATAAACCACAGATACAATTTTCCGTGACCTTAGCTATGAAACAAGAAGTTTGGTATGCATATTCAGCAGTTTCCACCTTGTCTATAAAAATACACCTTCGATTGTACAACAGACAGACAATATATGAAAAGTTAAGAGATGCTGGGTGGCTGGGTGGCTGAGGACAATGGCGCTGCTCTACAGAGGGAAGTGACTATATTATAGTCACATATCAAGTAGTGTCTCTTTTTTCCCTCTTCTTTTACTGGATTTCAAATTAGGCATAAAATTGAAAAGCGGCTTAAAAGGCTTAACCTTGGATGAAGAAATGATTGTTCTCTCCACTGGGATGAATGTTTGCCTAAAAAAGTTTACTGAAAGCAGTAAGAGTAAGATGATAAATAAAATATTATTCGGTCCCAGATACTTCTATATTTAGCACTAGGAATTACAAATAATGCCTATATACAGGCATACATTTGTGGTTGAATTAACACAATACGAAGCTTTGATTATGCTAATTCAAATTCTAGAACAATTACAGTGTGATGCTCTCATTTGAATTATGAAGGAAAAATGAAAAGGCTACATTTGTCGTGAATTTATAAACTAAAATACTTTGGTTTAAATACTTGTCTTTCCTCATTAATAACAGCCAAATGTTTAAAAAGAGATCTTCAAAAATAAGATTAAGAATATTGAATCGGTTATAATTCAGCCACTACATATTTTCAATTAGCTTTCCCTCTTTCCCAAAGTAGAGTATCACAACTCCAGAAAGGTGTTGTTAGCAGTGGCTTTCTTGACACCAACCAAGTCATTTGAAATCTTGAAACACTCCTTACAGGTCATAACTGTGTGTATTTTCGAATGAGGAAAAGGAAACATGAAGGGAAGTAAACGAAGATAGCGAGGTTGTGAAATGTGTCAGATGTCAAATGAATTCCTTTGGGGGTAAGAGTGGGGTACGAAATGGGAATTACTGAATTAAATGGAAAAAATAAGGTTCTGGGTTTCAGGTGCATTGAAGAATATCTCAGACGATAATTTCGATTTCAATCAAATCATTACAAAGGGCAACCTGGCCCTACACCTGAAATTTTTAACATACTTATTACGGCTTTGCCATAAAACAGCATGTTAACAGTCTATATTGAAAAGGATGCTTGCAAACTTCATTCATATTAAAATCTATGCAGAATTGTTGGCAATACAGCAAGAGTAATATTACATTCTGTAAACCATGGCATATCACATTTTACATTACGCAAAGAGACAATATTTACAAGTCTTTAGGAGTTTAAATATTTTATCCACTAACATAAGTGATAATTTAGCAAAGTGCAGGACAAAACCATTGCTATTAATTGCATGTCCTTTAAAAGCAGGTAAAGGTAAAATCATTTCTAAAAGCTACCAAAAGCTTATTCATGTGTGTCCAATAGGGGATTGCAGAGCATTAAAGAAGCCTAGAAAAATGATGCATATTTAGAAACACTGAGTATGAAAATTATAAGGCAGCATGCTCAGAACAAGTTTTTGTTTTTTAAACACCAGCACTGATGTTTTATCTTTAACGGCAACTATATATATACACACACACACACATATGTGTATATATATATGTATGTGTGTGTATTTATTTAAAAATTGAGAGTGCAAAACACAAACCTCACCTAACAAAAAAAAATGTGCAAATTTTCTTCTTAAACCAACACAAATAAAAGTGTGAGCAGAATACTCTACCATTATAAAGAATAAGTTGAACACAGCAAAGGAGACCATCTTCATTCCAAAATCATCTACAAGGCACTAAGGGTAGGAAATGACAGGTAACACAGAAATGACTGAATAAAATTCCTCAGTCAGGTCGGAATATGGGATATTTTGGTAGGAATTCTATTAGTATTACCTGCAAAATAAAAACAAATAAGAACATATTGACAAAGTAATTTTCATTTGCTATAACGTATATAACCCAGAAAGTCTATAATCATTTTTCACAGGACTGTATCTTGGTCATATACTAAAAGGTAAGTGAAATATAAAAAACAATTATAAAAAGTACTTACTACACGTTTTCATTAGATTGGCAAATATAACTTACTGTAGCTAATAGTTTTTATTACCTGATTTACAATAACTATTTGTTTAGGAGCAGAAAAGTAAACCCCATTACATTATGTCCTTCCTCACTTTCTCTGTCCCCTTTTTAAGCAAAGTTTAAGGGATTAAAATTTTGCTATATAGATTAGAAAAAATACCTTCATCTATATTACATCTATGTATTTTTCATCTAAAGCTGCTGATATTGGTTGAGTATTACTATCTCTTATAAGCTGTTTGTAAAAAAAGCAATAAAGTGTCCAAATAGATTGATTAAAACATTTTAATTAAAGGTTTAGAAATATGATAATAATAACCTAAGATATTTATAAATGTATAAATTTAATATATAAATTTATAATAGTTCATATAAGCCTTTATCTATAGTAGATTTTAGATTTGTGGTCATTTGTACCATTTTTTTCCAAAAGTATTCAAAATGGGTAAAGATAACAGAATAATTCTTATTTATGAGATGAAAATAGAGTGTTTATTGTGAACTATATACTACATGTCAGCAACCTGAAGCTTGGATAAATTTCATATTCTTCTCAAGGTTAATGATATTGAATTTATCACATTGGCTATATGTGAATTTATGTTTTGGGATTAAGACTGCATAGCTTTCAGAAAAAAACAAAAACAAAAACAGAAACTATGGTTTCTTCCCCAAAAGTTAAATGTCAGCTGACTAAAAAGAACGAGGAAAATGAATCCAGAATTTAGAAGTCAATTCCCGTATTATGCAAGTTTTGACAAGATTAAATTTGGAAATATTTTGTTTAACAGCAGCTGTGTCCATCACCATATGCAATTGTTTGCACCTAAGTTATAAGAAGATTAAGGTTGTGCTATATTTTCATCTAAACATAACTGGCTGAGATTTTTCTAACATTGAAAGAATTGCTAGCTTTCAAGATATATTTTTTTAACTTTTAAAAATTAAGTTTATTGGGGTAACATTGGTTAATACAATTATATAATTTTCAGGTGTACATTATAATTTGACATCTGTATATTCTATTGTGTGTTTGCCACCCAAAGTTCACTTCCTTTATAGCATAGCGGTTAGACATTTATAGAATCTACTAAGTAATTCCCCCCATTCAATCTAGTACCCACCTGGCACCAAACATAGTTATTACAATATTACTGACCATATTCCCTATGCTCTATTTTATATCTCTATGATTATTTTATAACTGCCAATCTGTACTTCTTAATCTCTTCACCATTTTCACCCAGCCCCACAATCCCCCTCTTTGTAGCAACCATCAGTTTATTCTCTGTATCTGAGTCTGTTTGTTTCATTTTGTTCTTTAGATTCCACATATAAGTGAGATCATATGATATTTATCTTTCTCTGACTTATTTCACTTAGCATAATACTCTCTAGGACCATTCATGTTGCTGCAAATGGTAAGGATTGCATTCTTTTTTATGGCTAGATACTATTCCATTGTATATATAAACCAACTCTTCTTTATCCAATCATTTATTGATGGGCACTTAGGTTGCCTCTATATCTTGGCTAGTGTAAATAGCACTACAGTGAACATAGGGGTGCATATAGCTTTTTGAATTAGTGTTTTGAATTTCTTCAGATAAATACCCAGAAGTGGAACTGCTATGTCATAATGTAGTTCTATTTTTAATTTTTGAGGAACCTCCAAACTCTTTTCCATAGTGGCTGTACCAATTTGCAGTCCCACCAGCAGTGTATGAGGGTTCCTTTTTCTCTGCATCCTCTCCAGTATTTGTTATTACTTGTCCTGTTGATTATAGCTATCCTAACAGGTGTGAGATAGTATCTCATTCTGGTTTTGATTTGTATTTCCCTAATAGTTAGCGATGTTGAGCATCTTTTCAAATATTTGTTGGCCATTTGTATGTCCTCTAGGGAGAAGTCTGTTCAGGTCTTCTTCCCATTTTTTGATTGCATCATTTGTTCAAGATATTTTATGTTGGCTACAAATCTAAAGAAGGTGGAAGGACACCTCTATATCCCAACTGACAAAAGTTCAGGCTGAATGGTACTGGCATAAAAACAGAATAGAGAGTCCAGAAATAAATCCACACTTATATGCTTACTTAATGTATGACAAAATAGGCAAGAATATACAATGGGGTAAAGATAGTCTCTTTGATAAATGGTGCTGGGAAAATTGGACAGAGACACGGTAAAGAAAGAAACTGGACTACCTTCTTCTACCATATACAAGAGAGACTTAAATGTAAGATATGAAACCATAAAATTCCTAGAAGAAAACAGGCAGTAAACTCTCTGAAGCTGCTCTTAGTAATATTTTTGGGGGGATATATCTACTCAGGTAAGGGAAACAAAAGAAAAAATAAACAAATGGGACTACATCAAACTAAAGTTTTTGCACAGCAAAGGAAACTGTGAACGAAACAAAAAGACAACCTACTGAATAGAAGATATTTGCGAATTACATCCGATAAAGGGTTAATATCCAAAATAGATAAAGAACTCTTATAACTTACCACCACCACCAATAACAAAACATTTGGATTAAAAAAGGGCAGAAGACCTTAACAGACATTTCTCCAAACAAGACGTACGGATGGCCAACAGACATATGAAAAGATGCTCAAGGTCACTAATCATCAGAGAAATGCAAATTAAAACCACAATGAGATCACCTCACACCTGTCAGAATGGCTGTCTTCAATAAATCAAAAAACAACAAGTGTTGGCGAGGATGCGGAGAAAAGGGAACCCTCACACACTGTTGGTGGGATTGCAAATGGGTACAGCCACTATGAAAAACAGTCTGGAGGTTTCTCGAAAAATTAAAAATGGATATACCTTTTGACCCAGCAATTGCTCTTCTGGGTATTTAGTCAAAGAAAACCAAAACAATAATTTGTAAAGATCTATGCACCCCTATGTTCATGGCAGCACAATTTATAATAGCCAAGATATGAAAGTAACCTAAATGCCCATCAACAGAAGACTGGATAAAGAAGTTATGGTTCATATGTACAGTGGAATATTATTCAGCCATTAAAAAAAAATGAAATCCTATCATTTGCAACAACATGGATGACCCTAGAGGTTATTATGCTGAGTGAAATAAGTCAGACAGAGAAAGATAAATGCCATATGATTTTACTTATATGCGGAATCTAAGGAACAAAAAGGACAAACTAATTTAAAACAGACCCACAAATATAGAGGACAATCTGGTGATGGACAGAGAGGAGGGAGGGTTGGAGGCTGGGAGAATGGGCTGAAGGGTTAAAGAAGTACAAATTAGTCAGAGGGATGGGGAGCACGGCACAGGGAATGCAGTCAGCATTAATATATTGGCTAGGTGGACGGCCAGGGGAGGGAGGGAGCAATTAGGGGGATCGTTTTATAAAGTATATAAATGTCTAACCAATGTACTGCATGCTTGAAACAAATAAAAGTTTAAAGAAAAGAAAAATGGAAAAGTTATGAGACTAAAAAAAAAAGTTCAGGCTGAGGAGAAAAATGGTAGACAATTTGACAAATCATAAGTCTAGTAAAATGCAATAACAATTAGAATGGAATCCAAAAAGTTTAAGAAAAAGCAACTTCATACTTACATATTCCATCATATTGCTAGTTTCACATTTCCTTTTAGTCAACTTCCAGTGCAAAGCAAGCTAAAAAAGTATAGTTTGTTAAAAATTTTGCTATCAATTTATACTAATTATTACATTTGAATAAATCACTGAAAATAACCCAGCAATAAGTATAAGATCCAAAACACAGCATTTTCAAATACCTTGTAAATAACATACATTAAAAAATTTAAAGACCTAAAGAATATGCATTAAAAATTGAGTATTAATTCTCAAATCCATTCTTTGGGCCTGAAAAATTCTCATTTTTCAATTTAATAATACAAATACATGAATGAGGGCACTTATTTGCTTAAACTTTCTTACCTTGTGATATAATCTGTTATTTTCCCATTCTAATAACTTCTGAACTGATCTTCTGGTCTAAGAGGAAGAATCAAGACTTTGTTATAAGATGAATTGAGGAGCTTTGTAAACTATGTGTATCTATAGTTTTTTGCTTACTTGTAAGATCTCATTATTTTCTCCTCTTGTTTTTCTATTAGAAATCAAGAAAAATGCAATGTAACTGACAGAAACTGCCAAAAGAGGGTGGTTAATATACTTCTATAATAAGATCTTCCTCTCTCATATATATATATATATATACACACATGCACACACACGGGATTTTAATATATGTGTTGCAAAATTAAATATATAGAAATTACTAATACTGCTAGTAGTTCATTTATGGACCTAATCTACATTTTAATATACCTTTTCACAGGGTTACTTTTTCAATGTACATGCAATGTGCCAGGCTAATCTGATTCCTCACATAAAATTTCCTATCAGAGCTCCTAACACAACGCCTGGCACATAGTAGTCCATTAATGTCTATAAGTACAATAAAGCAAGCCAACATGTATTGGAATTTCCACTGAATAGAACATGTTAAAAACCGTGAGGCAGAAAACTTGTATTTAGAGGAAAAAAAATAAACAAGAGAAGCAGAACTATAGTAAACAGGACAGAGGCTGAGTGTCTCCATTTGGAGTAAGAAAAGTTTGCAAAACCTTCAAAAACATTAAAATAAAATATTACTAGGCATTTTTGATTATTATTTTAAGAGTTTTATAAGGTTTCTAATAAAAAAAAAGGCTAGTAGGAATTGTTAAATTTTGAAACTGCTCCCTAAAATTAAATGATGTACAAATTAGAGTTTATCTGAAATGATTTCCAAAGCACTAACATAAGAAACCATTCTCTGTAAGTTCAACTAAGTAAGTTAACGACCAATAGCAATTGTTTTCAGCTCATTTACAGCGGGCCAGATCAGTGACAATGGTGGCTAGAGCTTACTGTGGGGCCACTGTACTTGATAGAATCTCTAAACAAAATCAGATAGTCAACAAATAGAGACTGAACTAATAATTATAAATCTTTCCACAAAGAAGAATCCAGGCCCAGATGGCTTCAACGATGAATTCCACCAAACAGTTAAAGAGGAAATAATACCATGAATATTGACACAAAATACTAGCAGGCTGAATCTACCAGCATATGAAAAAGATTATATATCATAACCAAGTGGAATTTATCCCAGGAATACAACATAAATTGATGTAGTACATTATATTAATAGAAAAAAGGACAGAAACCGCATGATCATCTTAAGATTTAGAAAGATCCTCAAGATTCAGAAAAAGCACTGGACAAAAATCCAATACCTATTCATGACAAAAATCCTAATTTCCTAATAGGAATAAAAGGAAACTTCCTCAACCTGATAAAGGGCATCCATGTTAAATCTACAGATACCATGATTCTTAATGGAAGGAGACTAAATGTTTTCCTTCTAAGATTAGGAACAAGACAAAGACATCTCCTCCCACTGCTTTTATTCAACACTGTATTAGAAGTTATAACCGGGCAATTAGACAAAAACAAGAAATAAAAGGAATCTAGATTGGAAAGGAAAAAGTGAAACCACTTTCATTTGTGGACATCATGATCTTGTATAGAGAAAACCTTAAGAAATCCACTAAGACATTATTAGAACTGATAAGTTGAGCAAGGTTGCAGGAAACAAGATTGGTGTAGGTAGAAATGTGGACCACGTGATCTAACTCCCTGCAGTTACACCTGTGAATATATTATTTTATGTTTCAAAAGGGACACAATGCAGTTAAAGTTATTAATGGTTTGGTTTTAAAACAGGGAGATCATCATGGATTATTTTGGTGGACCCAAAGTAATTTCCTGAGCCTTTAAAAGCAGAGAACTTTTTCTGGCTGATAGAGGGATAGTCAGAAGGGTCTGAAGCACAAAAAGAACTCAAACCACCACCGCTGGCTTTAAGATGGTAAGGGCCACACGTAATCTATAAAAAGGAAATAATTTCTGCCAAAACCTGAATGAGCTTAGAAGCAAATTCTTTTCTAGAATCTACAGAAAGGAATGCAGCATTGCCAGCACCTTGATTTTGCCCTTGTGAGATCCTAGTAAGAAAACCCTATTGAGCCACATTGTGCCTCGCTGTACCTCGCTGTGCCCCGCTGTGCCCCGTGCCTTTACATTTGACTGTAAAATAATAAAAGGGTGTTGTTTTAAGCTATCAGGTTTGTAGAAACTGGTTACACTAGATGGAAAAGTAACACAAGGATGGAAAAGTAATATAAAGGTCAATTGTATTTCTATACACTAGGAAAGAACAATCTAAAAGGAAAGTAAAGACCAATTCCACTCATAAAAGAAATAAAATATTTAGGAATAAATGTAACAAAAGAAGTATAAGACTTGTAAACAGAAACTAAAAACACTGCTAAAATAAGTTAAAGAACAGGGAAATAAATGGAAAGATATTGCATGTTCAGGAATTGCAACACTCATGTAATATAGCATTTACAACAAATGGTGCTGGGACAGTTAGATGTCCAAAATAATAATAATAATAATTCGAAACCCTATCTCAAACCATGCACAAAATTAACTCAAAATGGATCGAAGACTGAATTGTAAGAGGTGTGAAACTAAAACAAGTAGAAAACATAGGAGTAAATAAATGTTTGTGCGAAGTTACGCAAAGCCCTCTTAGATATGATGCACAAAGCGCAAGCCAGAAACATTTAAAAGCAATAAATTTGAATTAATCGAAATGAAAAACTTGGGTCAAAGATACCATCAAGAGAGTGAGAGCCCTTCCTGAATGGCCATGTGACGACATTAGAGAAATTTGTCACCTGGAGACAGCTGGTAAGCTGACCAGTAGTAGCAAGGACAGTCGGTGAAATAGTCTTGAGATTTATCAAAGAGCTTACAACAGATCGAGAAGCATTTATTCAATAGAATCTATGAAAAATAGGTAAGAACAATGGGAGACCTTGGTATTAGAGCTAGCCACTATACCCATATCTCTACTACTCTACCTCGTGAAAGAACTGTTTTAGCAAACTTGGGATCTGAGTGGCAGGTAGTCTCCCTATCTCCCAGCTCCCTGGAGTCAAATGGCTCTTCTGGGTAGTTTTGTTAGATGGTGAAAATAGGCAGATCCCATTTTCCACAGCTCTGTGTTGTAGAAGGCCTATATTAAATGGGTGTTAACAGCAAGGCTGCATCCACTTCTCTACCCTCAACTTCTGCCAAAACTGGCAGGACATCTGGTGAAGAGTGCGGCTCCCTTTTCTGACACATCTGTGTTATGGGAGAGCTGATATACTTGGCTTGACGACTGAGTTGCAGTTTCTATCTTCCCAGCTTCCTAGGGCAGATGTATTCTGGGTAGATTTGACAAATAGTGAATATTAGCAGATCCTATCTTCCCTGCGTCTGAGCTAAAAACAAATCCACGGCTAACATCATACTAAATTGTGAAAGGCTGAAAGCTTTTTCTTTAAGACAGGAAGTAGACGATGGTCACCTTTGCCACTTCTATTCAATGTATTACTGGAAATGCTAGACAGAGCAGTTAGGCAAGAAAAGAAATAAAGGGCATCCAAATCAGAAAGAAAGAAGTAAAGTCATTTCTGTTTATAGGTGAGATTATCTTATGTGTGGAAACCCCTAAAGAATCTACAAAAAGTCTGTCAGAGCTAACAAATTCAGCAATGTTTCAGGATACAAAATCAACATGCGAAATTCAGTTGTATTTCCAAAGAACAGCGAACAATTCAAAAAAGAAATTAAGGAAACAATTATATTTATAATAGCATCAAAAAGAATAACATACTTAATAAAGTTAAGCAAGGAGGTGAAAGATTGGTACACAGAAAACTATAAAATATTGCTGAAAGAAATTAAAGACCAAAATGTGAAGACATCCTGATTTCATAGATTAGAAGACTTAATATTGTTATAACAATGACATTATCCAAAACGATCTATGGATTCCATGTAATCCTTATCAGAATCCTGGTGACATTTTTTGTAGAAATAGAAAAACCAATCTTAAAATTCATATGGAATCTCAAGAGACCTCTATTAGCTAAAACAATCTTGAAAATGAACAAATTTTCTTATTTGTTCACATTCCTGATTTCAAAGCCTACCACAAAGCAGCAGTAACCAAAAAAATATGCTACTGGCATAAAGACAGACATATAGACCACTGGAACAGAATAGAGAGCCCAGAAGTAAACTATCAAATACATGGTCAACTGATTTTCAACAAGAGTGCCAACCATTCAATGGAGGAAAAGGACAGTCATTTCAATAAATGCTGCAAGGATACTGGATATCCATCCGCAAAAGAATTAAGTTGGATTTTAAGCTTACAGCATATACAAAAATTGACTCAAAATGGGTCAAAGAACTAAACATAAGAGCAAAAACCATAAAAGTCTTAGAAGAAAACATAGGAGACCATCTTCGCGACATTAGATTTTTCAATAATTTCTTGAATATGATACCAAAAAGCAGAGGCAAAAAAGGGGAAAATAGTTTAATTAGACTTTATCAAAATTAACAACTTGTATGCATCAAATGACACTATCAAGAGAGTGAAAAGACAATCTACAGAATCGGAGAAAATATTTGCAATTCATATATCTCATAAAGGATTAATAACAAGAATATATGGACTCCCACAACTCAACAATAAACAATCTAGTTACAAAATGGGCAAAGTAAGTACCTGATATACAAATGGCCAATAAGCAAATGTAAAAATGTTTAACATCACTAGTCATTAGGGAAATATAAATCAAAACCACAGTGAAATACCACTTCACACCCATTACGGTGGCTATTATTAATAAAATGAAAAATAATGAATGCTGGTAAGGATCTGGAGAAACTGGAATCCTTGTACATTGCTTATGGGAATGTAAAATGGTACTGCTCCAATGGAAAATGGTTTTGTGGCTCCTCAAAAAGCTAGACAATTATCATATAATTCAGAAATTCTATTCCTAGATATATACCCAATGGAATTGAAACCAAGGACTTGAATAGATGCTTGTATGGCAATGGTGAATGCAGTGTTATTTACAATAGCCTAAAGGTGGAAAGAATTCATATGTCCATCAACAGATGAGTGGAGAAACGATATATTGTATATACATAGAATGGACTGCCATTTAGTCATAAAAAGGAATAAAGTTCTGAAACATGCTATGATATAGAGATGAACTTTGAAGACATTATGCTAAGAGAAATAAGCTAAGTGAAATAATGCCAGGACATATATGGAATTATTCTACTTATATGAGGTATCTAGGATAGGTAAATGTGTAGAGACGGAAAGTAGATTAGAAGTTACCAGAGCCTGAGAGGAGGGGAAACAAGGAGTTATTACTTATAATGGCTAAAACGTTTCTGTTGGGGTAATGGAAAAGATTTGGAAATAGATAGTGGTAATGGTTACACAACACTGTGAATATAATTAATGCAACTGAATAGTACATTTAAAGATGTTTAAAATGCTAAATTTTATGTTATGTGTATTTTACCACAATAGAAAATTTTCAAAAATTCCAGTACATACTAGAAATCAAGAAAGAATGTCATCAGCTGACCAAAAATATATGGAGTTTCTGCATGACAGATGATCCTACACTGAAATAAAAAGAATAAACTCAAAAAATTAAAGGTTGACTGCTGAATCTTCTTATGGAGGTATAGAAGCCTGGAAAAGAAGCAAAGATGGATTAGAAGTAACTTTAAATGGGCACAGCAAGGAGGACACATGCACAAAAACAGGAATTCAGATTTTCACAATAAAGGAATTTAACATGCCATGCTATATCAGAAATAAAAAAGAATTAAAGGAAATTATGCTGCCAATGTCTCATTAACTAGAGAATATCTACAAGGAGACAGAATTAAAAAGAACCAAATGAAATTCTAGAGTTGAGGAGTACAATAATGGAAAAAAACAGTATAAAGGCACAAAAGTACATTTGAAGTGGAAGAATAATCAATGAACTTGAAGACAGATCAAAAGATATTACAAAATATCAAGAGCACAAAGAAAACACAATGATGAAAACTAAACACAGCCTCAGAGAAATGTTAGACATCATTAACTATACCAATATACCTCTATTGAGAGTACCGGGAAAAGACAAGAGCAAAAGTAAAACAGAAGAAAAATTTAATGAAATAATAGCTGAAAATTTCCCCAATTTAATGAAATATATTTATTTACACATCCAAGAGGCTCAAGAGACTCTAAGTAGCATAAACTCAAGGAGATTTATAGTAGAGACGCCACAATACAAATAGAAAGCCATGGAAAAATAGGAAATCTTGAAAACAGAAAGATGAAAAACGATTCATCACTTACAAAGAATTTACAATAAGATTAATTGCTGACTTGTCATTAGAAACAACATAAGGCAGATGACAGTAGAACAATAAATTGAAAGCAATGCAAAGAAAAAATACTGTCAGCAAACAACCTTAGATGCATCAAATTAACTTAAAAATGAAGGAGGTCAATTTAGGCATGTAAGGAGCTTAAAAGTTGTCTCTCCTGCCCACACGACAAGGAAAAAACTCTGAACCTGAAAATCAACAACTCCCCTTAGATATGTCAGAGAAGTGAGGTCACAGGACACATCATCGCCTCCCAAATTGAAAAGACAGACAGATGGACACAAAGAAGTACAATTTACCAGAGTAGAAATGCAGGAGAGGGAAACTGTGAGAACCAGGAATAGGGTAGCAGAACTTGAACTTTAACTGATGAACTGTTGTAAGTTCAATGGGGACAAGTTTCAGAGTTAAAAATTCTGAGGGGGCCTAGTCTTGCAGGAGACACCCACACTTTTATGAGTTTTATTACATGGAGCCCTATCAGGTTCTCACTGCAATTGGAGAAAAATCCTCTAATCCTTCCAGCAGTAGGGGAAAAGCAAACACTTCCAAATATGCCCAGAACATTCTGTTCATAACAAATCCTACTCTCAGGAGAAACTACTGTACCAGAGCCTAACCTACTGAGGTTTTTACCAGAGCCTAACAAATCTTGAGGAAGGGAAATACACAACTCCAGCATCCCCTAGCCTTCCTGTCCAACCTAAAGGGGAAAATAAAACAAAAGAAAATCGAGAAGCACTTGTAGATGGAGAGCCCAGGAGCACAGGCTCACTAAAAAACGTAGGCCACATCACAGTACTATAGAACACTCTTGGTGCCCCAAAACCTTACCACTATGTCAATAAGGCTTCTACATTATAATACAGGAATGCAACTGAAAGATGGTATCTAACAAGTCTCTAGGAAAATCCAAAGAAAATAGGCCAGAAAAAACAAGGACACAGGGGAAACTTTAGCCTCTAACACTGACAGCTCCAACAAATAGCAAACACAGCCAGGCAAGCATAAAATCTCACTTTAAAGGCCTATTGCTTCTCTCTATTACAGTCCCTGTGGTGCAGGTGTTAATAAATATGCCAAGGGTAAACAGTTCATCAGAAAAAAAGATAGATCCTGGATAACATTCAAACGAAAAAATCCGTTAAGTAATTGAAATTGGCTGTATTTGGATGATGAAAATCCAAATCACAATGAATGCACATTGAGGCTTTAAAAATAATGGGGATAGATAGGAGTTATAGATTGGTAACTTCTAAAAGACAGACATGAAAATCTGAGAAAGAAATTTATTATCATTTTTTTTAACTTATAGAAAGCCATTTGAGAACACTGTGCATTCTATGACAAACAATAAACTAAGCTCTACTGAAAGTAAAGCTCTAAGCTACCAATAGTTAACAAGGGAATCAACAAAATGTTTAACTTTTCCTTTCGAAAGGAGGGCAAGAGAAAAGATGAAAGAAAAATATATTAAGTACTTCTTAGGAATATTTTCGGCCTTCATGAAATCACTGCACCACTAATTATACCTACACAAGGTGCTGTGATTTTGAATATGGTTCACAGGCTAAAGTTTCCCCTGTGTCCTTGTTTTTTCTGGCCTATTTTCTTTCGGTAGGTTAATTATTATTTAAAAGTTTAAATGAAATCATCAGTGTAGTACAGGAAAAAGAAATTTAGGTAAAATAAATTAAATTTCCTCATTGGCATCAATTAAAAAGTTTAAAGATATCTTCACACTGGGGAAAACACATTTGAAGAGTAAAATAAAATTTTAAAGAAGATGAGATTAAGATAATAGTCTTAAATTCACGAACTAACTAGCAATGTCATGTTGGAATGTTGTTTCATGTCCAAAACAGCAGGATTC